AGCTTCTCTTTCCCCGGAGCGAGAGCGAAAGAGAGAGCGGACGAGTAGAAGAGGAATAATACCAATTTCAACACTGAAGCACACCTGTCAACTCCGTGGAATGGACTGGGGCTATGCCATGTTATTAAGTCCTAACAAGGACGAAACAATTGTCCATGGCTACATTGCCCGGGTGATATGGCTTTGCGCGTGCGTAAGGTACTGGATATACCGCGGAGTTGGTACATGTGCGTCAATGCTGAAGTGGGAGAGGACCCTGGGAACTAGGTTGTGGCCCGGCCCAGTCCCAGTTTATTAATATCATATTTTGTATGGGTAATAGCAGCACCTCGATCTAAAATACTAAGACGCGAATATATATTGGTTAAAAAGGGTTAGCTCAAAAGTTGGTAGGACTGTAGATAATCTTTTCCATGATGCTGTATTCTTTGCTTGTTTCCTGTCTCTCTTGTCATCTTTCAAACAGCCTTTATAGCGGAGGAGGGTGGACTCCACACCCTTTCTTTACAATACGTTTGTTTTGGTTTCTTAGCGGGGGCGGGGGGTACCTTTCGCCCAGTTGTATTCAAGCGAATGCAACGACTGTGACATTAAAGCCATATAAAAAAATACCTTAAAGTTTGTCACAAGCAATACATGATCTAAGGCCGGCTGTAAGCGTGTAAGTTTTCATTTTTTGGTGTTTTCATTTCAGACTCACGATGCGTCTATTGCACAAGAGCTTAGTGGTGGACTCATTGACACTTCTGCTCTTTATTTCCGCTATTTTCTGTTCGGTTCTTGCCTTCTTTTGTTTATCGCCTTTTTATGTGGAATTGTTTATCAAATATACTGGACAAAGAAACAGCGTTCAAGTACCGCAAGTGAGTAAAACACGGTTAACAACACCAATAATAAAAACATTATTATCTTAAATTACGTTCGGTTTTTGCTGTGGATGAGGGTTATCAAATTAGAAGGTGAATGTATTGAAGATTTCCACCATTCGGAAAACGTTAGGCAAAATCGTTTGGGAAATGTAACGGAAAAGATCAGGTTTACAATCATATCTCTTTGAGTCAGGCCTTGATGACTAATATCAGCGCATAAACCGTCTCGATCCAGGCTGTTGTCATATTCGCCACTTTTGAAAAACGAGTAGGAAACTGGGCCGAGTTAAGACAAAGACGAAGGCAAAGACTTATGGGACTGTTACGGGAGAGGACAGGAAAAAACTGGCCAAAATCCCATAAACAATTGCGGGACGATTTTGGCTTCAGTTCTCTTCTTGTTTCCAAAGTGGCGAATACCAAGTTCTGAGTGAGCGAAACATTTTGCGATCTACAGGGACGTAGCTCCGTAGCAATCTTCCAGCGGTAAGCGGCACAGTTTCCAAATCCACCCTAGTAAGCAGTCTCCCAAATTACTTTCCGCGCAGGTGGCCTTGAAGAGTTGTGTAAGGTAATAATCTCCGGACTGTGTTCTGCAGACAGCAGTCATGGCTTCAGTTGGCGTGTTGCAAAATCAGAAAATAAAGGTTGCATTTTGTTTGAAAAGCACCTGAAAGCAATAAATGCGGAGGTACACGGGCGATTTTTTTATTCTAGCTATGGCTTATTTATCCTCTGCGTTTTTCCTTTTTCATTTCTTTTGTTTGTCTTTTTTATCAATCTTCAATATTTTCAGGTACAGGCGCGCGTACTGGCTCACGGTAGCTACACCCTTGCAAAGAAACCTTTTGACAAATCTGCGGTTTATAACGATCTTGAAAGCAAGGAAAATGACCCCACGGGCACTAACGGTACCATAAAAAAAAGGGTGGGGAATTACGATCGCGTGTTCTATTTTGCGAGGTTCGTGCTAGACGTGAAGACGATGCTTGCCTTAGTTGACTGGGTATTCTTTTTGCAACAGGTGCCAAAAAGCGTCTTGCCGATATGAGAATGGAATTACAACATGAAGTGGACGAATTTTACAAGAGAATTCATGAAATCGTCGACGAACACATGGAAACTCACATTAAAGAGAGAAGAAATTTCCGCAAACGAAGAAGTAGTAAATTTTTGTATTTCGATCCGATCGTTACAACATCGGTGAGGAGTTTTAATACAAGTAGCAGCTATGCCTGAAGGTGATTACTTTGGACCTAACCTTGAATGAAGGCTATAGGAAAAAGGGAATTCCAGAAGATCATTATTGTGGAGTGAAACTGTGTTCAGAAGCCAATCTCTCCTTACGCGCCGCGCCATGTTTTGTAGGACAGGTAGATCAGTAGCATTATGTTCCCTTAAAAAGACAATATTACGTGAAATCTCCCAAGTTAAGGATCCCCTTATCGTGTTATTACGACAGAATTATGAATGTACGTAGCGTAGTTCCTGCAGGGGCGGATCTAGGGGGAGGGTGGGGGGTGGGGGGGTGCGCAACCCCCTGAGAGATGACCTGCGGTTTTCTAATACAACTGGTATTCTGCAAAAAAAAACTATGTGGTTTATTGGTGTTGAAGTAGAGCAAGAGACAAGTGCACCCCCTCCTAAAAAATCCTAGATCCGCCCCTGTCCTGGGTGTTCTCTCTTGCCCCGTCCACGGTGCGCGTGACGTCTGAGAAAGGGTAAAAGCTCAAGCTAGAGTTCAGGTTAAACCGAGCCAAGAACTATAGCTGGGGACTAGGCTGGAATGTACTGTAATCTCTCCAATGCACAGAATACGTTTTTAACAAAGAGAGAAAACAGTACGTTTATTCTTCAATGTGAACGAGTGATAGTCAATGGATATGAGTTGTACTTAGCTGTTATTCCAAAAAATCTGACTATCACTCATTCACGTTTTAGTCGTCCTTAGCCAAATAAATTGACAGTTTTCATGAACAAATAAAGCAGGACCAGGCGACTCGTAGGGAATTTTTGTTGATGTAAACAACAAATACTGCTTACACTGCCTCTCTTATGACAGCCATCTGAACGAGCTAAACGTCTCACAAACGAACCCTACCCAAGGTACTGGACCACGTTTTGTGTTAAATATTTAACCGTGTCCGCATATAGGGTCACTAGACACTAATTTTCTAAATGAAAAGGCGCGTTCGTCCTCCTACTTCTGTTTAATGATCTCTCTCTTCGCTACGCACCAAAATCTGTAATAGTTAAGTATATTTTTCAAGCCCATGTGTGAAACTCGCAGTCATAAGGTTCGCTTACACTTGCTGCGCGTGTGATGTTTTGATGTTAGATTTATATTGCCTGTCAGTACTCAGTATTTTATTTCCATCTCTTTTTGCGAGATTGAAACTCTAATAAAGTAGATATTGTTATCATTGTCATTTGATCTGAATCTTCAAGCTACGCTGAAATAACCAGCCCCTCCTCCTCCCCCAAAGGAACCTGTCCGCACCCTGCCACAATCAGACTTTGACATTTTTCTTAAACGAGTAAAAACAACGTGACACTTGTTAAAAATGACTTGGATTCCAGTTGATCGATGCACTGTAAGTTAAGGCTTTTACTAGGAAGGCGGGAAGGGATAGATAAAGGAAGACTAACACTCTAAGTTCATTTATTCTTTTACTGATTTCAAATTCTCTGCCTGGTTTAATGGTCTCCAACGTCATTATGAGCGTTGTTAATCCTGCTGACCTTGTCCGGAATATTCTCGGATCGTGGTTGTACATCGATATGAGTGGCCTTTTTAACTCTTTTGGTCTGCCTGCGGTGGTACCAGCAGCATGTAAAAGCAAACGCCCAGGCCATGAACACCAAACATCCAACGAAAACTGAAATGGCTATGAACTTGGGATTCCTGTGGTTAGCAGCATACCATCTGTCAAAGGCACTCCTTGAATTTGCATTTTTATTGCTTTGATCTCTTGAAGCTAAACGCAGATGTGACGATCCAGGTAAACGAGCTTCCTTCCTGTGAGCATGAATCTCATAGGATCTTTTTAATCTTGATAGCGCCGATGTGATTTCACCATCAACTTTGTTCGATAAAGCCTTTTCCTCCTGCTTCGGTTTGCGCCCATGTAAAAGCGGCAAACTTGCTGCTAGCTCAGAAATAATTAACTGACTCAAAAAAATGAGAAATAATTCCTTCTTCATCTTTGTGAAAGACGTTCCACCGCACTGGTCTTTTCGTCTGCCATTTGAAGAATATTTTTTCGTAATTATAATTCGTTTTAGAACGTCACAGTTGCATATTATTACGCATGCGCTCGCCTTTAACAACAAAAATAATTCTAATGACCCCCGACAGGCTTTTGGCACGGAGGCGCTCTGGAAATTACTGCGTTACATCAAAATCGCTTAATTGGAAGTCCTGATTGCAGCTTTATCAATGCAGAGATTTTCTTAGAGATCCTCTGACCACGGGGGATTATTGACGATAGTAGTCATTATGGGGGTTGGGTAAATGAGAGTTTTTTCCTGTTGTTTTTTTTCCACGTCTCTCTCTCTTTCTCTCTCTCTCGCTTGTACAATCAAACCCGTTGATACGGACACTCAGTTGTCCATAGAAAAGGTCCCTATTAACGGGGTGTCCGTATTAAGCGGGTTGAATTTTTAACAAAGAAAATGTAAAAAAGGGATTCCTTTCCCCCAGGAGAAAGCAAGCCTTCCGTAATAATTAAGTGTCCGAAAAGCGGGGCTGTTGACTGTACCACTTTGATATTAATATGGCATCATTATGCTCTAGGATCCTCTACAGAGGGTCTCAATGAAGTGAACCGGTAGCCGTCAAACGGTGTGAAATTTAACCGTCAGCCGTCGAAAAAGGTAATTTTTACTGCCATTCGTGAAAAATGCAAATTGATATTAACCGAAAAAAAGTTTGAAGGTATTTCAAATTCCACTATTTCATTTGATCTTCACGGGATTCTGGCTCCTGAAGAATCTCTAAATTAGAAAACCCAGTTTCCATGTTCTCAAAAACACTTCTAAACTTTACAAGACCGTAGATCTCAAACCATAGATCTGTCGTCTTTGGACAAGGCAGGCTGGGGCCGAGATTGGAACCAGTCCCTCCCGCCCTATTAATAACTAAAATGGCGGCCGAAGTTTAGAGGACATGATATCTTCTAGCTTCGTGGTAGATCTGTGCTCTCGCATTATTACTTTAGAGAAAATACGGAAGAATTATGGATACTAATGATGCCTTAAACTCAAGGGAAAACTCTTCTGAAGACGAAACAGGTTCAGACGAAGACAAGGACGATATTGTAAGTTGTATATGGTGTATATCAAATAAATGTCCCTGTTGCTGACCGATCGTATAAGTGTGTAAACTCACGTAAAATCCATGAGTTTAATCGTACTATATTTTTGTCTTGATTTCAGGCGCATCTTAAAGAAGGTCAGTAACCTAACCTTATCAGATCCAACTTATAAAAATATCTTGAAAACTTAAACTTGGAAACGATCAACTCTAATTGTTCGATCAACTTTGATAATAAATAATCATACAACAGTCTCTATAGCATTCTTGGTGTCAGTCTGTTTTAAAGCGGAATTGATGTCAACGATTAAGATTCTATTATTTACATCAGAAAAGTAAAAAATGCCCTGAAAATACAATAAGCTTCCCGGAGCGTTTTCAACTTCTTGGTTTGCAACCACGTGACGAGGCGGCCATGTTGGATTTCAAAACTACAATTTTTTTCACACAATTTGCATGAAAAAGGGAGTTTTCAGCTGCAAATGATCATTGTGCTAATTATCCTCTTTGTGATATTGGTGTATCCTTGAGGCCCTCTTCAGCGGGGTGGGGGGGGGGGGGGGGGGCTAGGTCAGTCCAAATGGTTGTTTTGCTTATTGAGGGGGAGACCATGTTGCTGTTGGAATTTATTTATCATAATTGAGATTGTCCTTGTCGCTGCCACAGTTTCAATGCATCGTTAGTTGTTTGTTGCCATTTCATCTGTCTAATCAGCAGTAACTGCCTGTTTTCACATGTATTTTTGTTCTGCTTTTCATAGAATTATCAGAGATTCCTTTCTGTGACCTTGAGGCCCTAAAACACAAAGTTGGCTCTAAAAGGTAAAATGCTATTTTGCTTTAATTAAACCTCATTTATGTAAAAAGTTCAAAGATGGCAGAGATATACAGCAAAAATAAAGGGTTGTGTGGTATAGATCTCTGTAGTTATGCCTGTTGTCCTGTTGTTCTCACATTCCTCCTGCAATGGTTTCCTCTAATGCATTCATTTTTACTGTACATGTACATGTAGATAGATATTTTTGCTTGCCCACAGGCAAAATATCCAAGGCAAATTGTGGATTAAGAGTCTGGTAGCATAATCAGAAGTCACTTGGGAGTTGAGCTAGTTAGCTTGGACATGTGTAAAGTCGATCGTACTTAATGATGAATTAAAGAATAGTTCTTTTCTTCTCACAAGCCTCCTACAATGTAACTTCTTCTTCACATGAACAATGGTCAGTGGTGGTGTTGAAGATCAGTTACACGTGTTATCTGGGCTAGAACTCCCAGCTTCTGTGCTTATGAATTAAAAACAGCATCTGTATGTATAGTCCGTGGCTAGAGAGACTAAAGCCAATTTTTCAAGCCCTATTTCTTATATTATTTAGAAGAATATAAACGCATTGTATTGAACTGACATCATAATCTTAAGATTGACTTGTGTGACAATAACAGTCATGTTTGTTTTTGACCAAACAATGCTATTTTTCTAACTGAAGATATAATAAAGCAATTCATGGCCTCTTTGAAAAGGAAGGTAGCAGTTCAAAACTTCAAAAGAGAGAAAACAGGAATAGGTAAGAGCTGCATGATTATATACCACTTATTAACCAAATGGACAAGGTTTGACAAATTATTTATTATATGGCCTTTTTAGCACTATTCTTAAAATGAATACGATAAAAAAAACTAGAAGTTTTTCTCAACATCCATTCGCAAGAGGTCATTTGAGGTCGTGTTCATCTGGTTATGTGATCAAAAGCACAAGACAGTTTCTTTGACAATGGGAAAATCTTGAACTGAGTCTGCAATCATTTAAAGCCAATAACTTTAAAAAATTAGTCACTTCAATGAGTTATACACTTGAGCCCGTAATAAAAACATATGACACTGGTCACTGGATACCCTTTTTGAGAGCTGTCAATTGATCATGACGTGGATGTCCATTACTATCAAGCTAGGTTGTGCATGTATATGCCTTGGACACCTCGCTAGATAGTAATGCTGGGTCATTACAAGAAAATAATGTCCGCTTAGCAGCCAATCAGAGTGCGCGTACTATTGTAGCTGTATAATAAAGATTTGTAGTATGTGATGATGGGTTGACAGTTATAGATACAGAGACCTCCACATGTATTCATTCACACAATGACCATAATTTCAATCAGCAGATTTGACTGGTCCCTAGAAATGTTAAATCACATTTGCAATATTATTCACAGTGAGGACTCCAGGCAATGACTATTGACAAAAGTATAAGAATAGTTAATTAATCAAAGTACTTATTCCTGTTATGTACAAAAACAAGGTTAGTAATAATATCTTAAAGATAATATCACACAGGTAGTTAGTTTTAGTAAAACTTTTGTAAACATTGTTTATGTCCTGCTTTCTAGGCCCAGAGAAATGTCATCAAAGAAGCAAGTACCTCGCTTAAGACAAGTGATCCCAGTTAAAAAACGAGTGAGTTGAAATTCTTTTGTACCGTTCTTTTAAATTAATTGTAAAGGTAATGGTGTTAAAGAAATCAACAACTTTCACACTGTTGAAAAGACAGACACTATTTAACCAGAGCTGGTTGCACATGGAATAACTCTAAAAAGATTTACTGTTTGATACATGAGCTTTTATTTGTAGATGAACAGGGATCCTAGATTTGATGAGCTGTCAGGGCATTTTAACCAGGAAAAGTTTGATAAGGCATATTCATTTCTAACTGACATAAAAGCAAATGAAAAGAAGGTGAGTCTATTGGAACCTGTTTCTCATTAACAGGGCATTGCTAAACTAAATTGATTATCCTGAATGTGATTGTCAAGTTGAGTGCAGTCCTTGGTTAATATACATTGTAAGGTGAATTGGCTCTCATCGCAACATCAACCATTAAGAAAAATTAACTTCTACCCCAAATAATTAGCAATGTTTTTGTTAATAGATTTTTGTGTGAAGTGTAAATAAGGAATGAATCTTCATGAAACACACTGTGCATACCAAGTTACAGCTTACTGTTGTTATGTATTTTAAAACATTTCACTGTGGGCAAAAGAATGCTACTCCTCTCAATCACCCGATGTTGATGACGTTTCATAAAGTGTCATTATTTTCTTAGTGATTGTGTGGCGTGGACTCCAATGCATTGATTGATCTCCTCTCAGAAATCCATGTATTTTTTACATGATGAATGATCTATTTCAATATTTCTACCAGCAACTGCAAAAGGAGTTACAGAAAACCAAACAACCAGAGAGAAAACAGCAGCTAGAATCTCTGCTAAAGAGGATGGTAAGTTCTGAGTGTTCCAAGTAATTATACATGTATTAATGTTCTGTGTAAAGGAAGGCTCAGTAATTCCAGTCCACAGATTTAGGAAGTCAGATGTCATGTCCTGTATTTGGTGTTAATATTTAAGCTGAAGGGTGGTAGATCACTACAGTAAAACACGTGACTAAGAAACTACATTTTCCAGAGTTAGCCTAAACCATGCCGGTTCAGTTACATACATGTAAAAATTAATGGTAATAAGCACAATCTTAGGCTATGTAGGTTCTTTAAAAATAGGTTCTTATTTTCTAAAAAAAAAGTACATTAAAGTCAAGAGTATTTTGTGCATATTCAACTACTTCCTGGTACAAAATCTGCATACATTAGATCAGGGTTGTCAAAATGAGCCGGCAACCGGCGCTATCACCAGAAGCAAAAAAAAATGGACGATTAAAAAACTTGTAAAATAGGAAAAGAAAAAGAACTTCTTTTAATCATGATCTGCACATTCTTTTTTGTGAGGCACCTCCTCTACCAGGCAAACACATATCCCTAGTGATAAGTGTTCCCCCACCCTGGAAACACATATCCCTAGTGATATGTCTTCCCCCAGCTGGGAAAAAAATATCCCTAGTGATATGGGTTCTTCCTGCTGAGAAACAAATATCCCTAGTGATATCTGTTCCCCCACCTGGAAAACACGTATCCCTATTGATATGTGTTCCCCCACCTGGGAAACACATATCCCTAGTGATATGTGTTCCCCCACGTGGGAAACAAATATCCCTAGTGAAATGTGTTCCCCCACCTAAGAAACACATATCCCTAGTGATATGTGTTCCCCCACCTGGGAAACACATATCCCTAGTGATATGTGTTCCCCCACCTGGGAAACACATATCCCTAGTGATATGTGTTCCCCACCTGGGAAACACATATCCCTAGTGATATCTGTTCCCCCACCTGGGAAACACATATCCCTAGTGATATGTGTTCCCCACCTGGGAAAAACATATCCCTAGTGATATAGGAAACACATATCCCTAGTGATATGTGTTCCCCCACCTGGGAAACACATATCCCTAGTGATATGTGTTCCCCCACCTGGGAAACACATATCCCTAGTGATATGTGTTCCCCCACCTTGAAAACACATATCCCTAGTGATATGTGTTCCCCCACCTGGGAAACACATATCCCTAGTGATATGTGTTCCCCACCTGGGAAACACATATCCCTAGTGATATGTGTTCCCCCACCTGGGAAACACATATCCCTAGTGATATGTGTTCCCCACCTGGAAAACACATATCTCTAGTGATATGTGTTCCCCACCTGGGAAACACATATCCCTAGTGATATGTGTTTCCCCACCTGGGAAACACATATCCTTAGTGATATGTGTTCCCCACCTGGGAAACACATATCCCTAGTGATATGTGAAACACATACATATCCTAGTGATATGTGTTCCCCCACCTGGGAAAACACATATCCCTAGTGATATGTGTTCCCCCACTGGGGAAACACATATCCCTAGTGATATGTGTTCCCCACCTGGAAACACATATCCCTAGTGATATGTGTTCCCCCACCTGGGAAACACATATCCCTAGTGATATGTGTTCCCCCCTGGGAAAACATATCCCTAGTGATATGTGTTCCCCACCTGGGAAACACATATCCCTAGTGATATGTGTTCCCCACCTGGGAAAACACATATCCCCTAGTGATATGTGTGATATGTGTTCCCCACCTGGAAAAACACATATCCCTAGTGATATGTGTTTCCCCCACCTGGGAAACACATATCCCTAGTGATATGTTTCCCCACCTGGGAAACACATATCCCTAGTGATATGTGTTCCCCCCACCTGGGAAAAACACATATCCCTAGTGATATGTGTTTCCCCACCTGGGAAAACACATATCCCTAGTGATATGTGTTCCCCCACCTGGGAAACACATATCCCTAGTGATATGTGTTCCCCACCTGGGGAAACACATATCCCTAGTGATATGTGTTCCCCCATATCCCTAGTGGACCTGGGAAACAGATATCCCTAGTGATATGTGTTCCCCTACCTGGGAAACACATATCCCTAGTGATATGTGTTCCCCCACCTGGGAAACACATATCCCTAGTGATATGTGTTCCCCCACCTGGGAAACACATATCCCTAGTGATATGTGTTCCCCTACCTGGGAAACACATATCCCTAGTGATATGTGTTCCCCTACCTGGAAAACACATATTCCTAGTGATATGTGTTCCCCCACCTTGGAAACACATATCCCTAGTGATATGTGTTCCCCCACCTGGAAAAAAACATATCCCTAGTGATCTGTGTTTCCCCACCTGGGAAACACAGATCCCTAGTGATATGTGATGCTTCATCTGGGAAACACATATCCCTAGTGATATGTGTTCCCCCCTGGGAAACACATATCCTTAGTGATATGTGTTCCCCACCTGAAAAAAAACATATCCATATCCCTAGTGATATGTGATATGTGTTCCCCCACCTGGGAAACACATATCCCTAGTGATATGTGTTCCCCCACCTGGAAAACACATATCCCTAGTGATATGTGTTCCCCCACCTGGGAAACACATATCCCTAGTGATATGTGTTCCCCACCTGGGAAACACATATCCCTAGTGATATGTGTTCCCCCACCTGGGAAACACATATCCCTAGTGATATGTGTTCCCCCACCTGGGAAACACATATCCCTAGTGATATGTGTTCCCCTACCTGGGAAACACATATCTCTAGTGATATGTGAAACACATATCCCTAGTGAAATGTGTTCCCGTACCAGGGAAACACATATCCCTAGTGATATGTGTTCCCCTACCTGGGAAACACATATCCCTAGTGATATGTGTTCCCCCACCTGGGAAACACATATCCCTAGTGATATGTGTTCCCCCACCTGGGAAACACATATCCCTAGTGATATGTGTTCCCCCACCTGGGAAACACATATCCCTAGTGATATGTGTTCCCCACCTGGGAAACACATATCCCTAGTGATATGTGTTCCCCACCTGGGAAACACATATCCCTAGTGATATGTGTTCCCCCACCTGGGAAACACATATCCCTAGTGTTATGTGTTCCCCCACCTTGGAAACACATATCCCTAGTGTTATGTGTTCCCCCACCTGAAAAACACATATCTCTAGTGATATGTGTTCCCCCACCTGGGAAACACATATCCCTGGTGATATGTGTTCCCCCACCTTGGAAACACATATCCCTAGTGATATGTGTTCCCCCACCTGGGAAACACATATCCCTAGTGATATGTGTTCCCCCACCTTGGAAACACATATCCCTAGTGATATGTGTTCCCCCACCTGAAAAACACATATCCCTAGTGATATCTGTTCCCCCACCTTGGAAACACATATCCCTAGTGATATGTGTTCCCCCAGCTGGGAAACACATATCCCTAGTGATATGTGTTCCCCTACCTGGGAAACACATACCCCTAGTGATATGTGTTCTTCCTGCTGGGAAACACATATCCCTAGTGATATGTGTTCCCCCACCTGGAAAACACATATCCCTAGTGATATGTGTTCCCCCACCTGGGAAACACATATCCCTAGTGATATGTGTTCCCCCACCTGGGAAACACATATCCCTAGTGATATGTGTTCCCCCACCTGGGAAACACATATCCCTAGTGATATGTGTTCCCCACCTGGGAAACACATATCCCAAGTGATATGTGTTACCCCAGCTGGGAAACACATATCCCTAGTGATATGTGTTCCCCCACCTGGGAAACACATATCCCTAGTGATATGTGTTCCCCCACCTGGGAAACACATATCCCTAGTGATATGTGTTCCCCCACCTGGGAAACACATATCCCTAGTGATATGTGTTCCCCCACCTGGAAAACACATATCCCTAGTGATATGTGTTCCCCCACCTGGGAAACACATATCCCTAGTGATATGTGTTCCCCCACATGGGAAACAAATATCCCTTATGAAATGTGTTCCCCCACCTAAGAAACCCTTATCTCTAGTGTTATGTGTTCCCCCACCTATAAAACACATATCTCTAGTGATATGTGTTCCCCCACCTGGGAAACACATATCCCTAGTGATAAGTGTTCCCCCACCTGGGAAACACATATCCCTAGTGAAATGTGTTCCCCCACCTAAAAAACACATATCCCTAGTGAGAAGTGTTCCCCCACCCTGGAAACACATATCCCTAGTGATATGTGTTCCCCCACCTGGGAAACACATATCCCTAGTGACATGTGTTCCCCCACCTGGGAAACACATATCCCTAGTGATATGTGTTCCCCCACCTAAGAAACACAAATCCCTAGTGATCTGTCTTCCCCCACCTTTGAAACACATACCCCTAGTGATATGTGTTTCCGCACCTGGGAAACAGATATCGCTAGTGAAAAGTGTTCCCCCACTTGGGTAACACATATCCCTAGTGATATGTGTTCCCCCACCTGGGAAACACATATCCCTAGTGATATGTGTTCCCCCACCTGGGAAACACATATCCCTAGTGATATGTGTTCCCCCACCTGGAAAACATATATCTCTAGTGATATGTGGAAACACTTGAAAAAACATATCCCTAGTGATATGTGTTCCCCACCTGGGAAACACATATCCCTAGTGATATGTGTTCCCCACCTGGGAAAAACACATATCCCTAGTGATATGTGTTCCCCACCTGGGAAAACACATATCCCTGGGAAAGTGATCCCTAGTGTTCCCCCACCTGGGAAACACATACCCCTAGTGATATGTGTTCCCCCACCTGGAAAACACATATCTCTAGTAATATGTGTTTCCCCACATGGAAAACACATATCTCTAGTGATATGTGTTCCCCCAGCTGGGAAACACATATCCCTGGTGGTATGTGTTCTCCCACCTTGGAAACACATATCCCTAGTGATATGTGTTCCCCCACCTGGGAAACACATATCCCTAGTGATATGCATTCCCCCACCTGGGAAACACATATCCCGAGTGATTTGTTTTCCCCCACCTGGGAAACACAGATCCCTAATGAAGTGTGTTCCCCCACCTTGGAAACACATATCCCTAGTGATATGTGTTCCCCCACCTGGGAAACACATATCCCTAGTGATATGTGTTCCCCCACCTGGAAAACACATATTCCTAGTAATATGTGTTCCCCCACCTGGGAAACACATATCCCTAGTGATATGTGTTACCCCACTTAAGAAACACATATCCCTAGTTATAATTATGTGTTCCCCCACCTGGGAAAGACATATTCCTAGTGATATATGTTCCCCTACCTGTTAAACACATATCATCAGTGATGTGTGTCCCCCCACCTTGGAAACACATATCTCTAGTGAAATGTGTTCCCCACCTGGGAAACACATATCCTTAGTGATAACACATGTTTCTTGTTATTTGTGTTCCCGTACCTGCACTACACACATCCGTAGTGATATGTTTTTCCCCACCCGGGAAACACATATCCTTAGTGACTTGACTTGTCCTACCTATAGAAATTAAAAAGAGTGGGTGACACTATGCAACCTCTTCTTTGCAAGTAAAGGATTGGCTCAATTTGTCATCAATTTTAACTGCAGATTATCATTAGAGTTCATGGATATTAAAATGTCCAAGAAACGTCCTTGGATACCTTGTTTTCTCAGTTTGTTGACTAGTTTCTGTCGTGGTATACAGTCGAAGGCTTTTCTAAAGTCGACGAAGCATGAATAGAGTAAATTTCGGTGCTTCTGTGGTTTAGATTTCACTTACTTGTAAATAAGCGTTTTTAATATGAAGATGCTATCAACTGTGCCATGCATTTTTCTGAAGCCACCTTGTTCAGTTTTTAAAATTCCTTTTTGAACCATATAGTCGTACAGTCGATTGTTGAGGATTGATGCAAAGAGCTTGCTTAGCACAGAGAGCAAAGTGTTACCTCAGTAATTTTTGACTTTGGATCCATCATCCCTCTTGTGAATAGGTAGAATGAGGCCAAAACTCCAAAGAGGCGCGTATTTTCCAGTATCAAAGATTTGATTAAATAAATTTACTAAATGCCCTTTACTTCATTTAATGTATTATCTATACCTGAAGAATTGTTTTCCTTTAGTTTGTTAATTGCAGCTTTAAACTCTTCATCAGTTATTGGATAATCAATTGGGCATTCCACTCTTTCGTTACTGTGGGTTTCCATATTCGTCTCCGGATCTTGTATATTATTGAGAGGGATCGCATTCTGTTGCTTAAAGTATTTATAAAACTGTTCCGTACTCACTGCTTCAGCTCCATGTGTTTTTCTTTTTCCGAAGTTAAAGATTTTTCCTATTTGCCACCTGGTCTCTTTGGTGTTCTCAATATTGATATTAGACATGCCTTTGCTGATAGATTCCCATTTCTTCCGTCTAAAAGTTTGTTTGAACCTCTTCTTTTTGCCTTGCAGTAGTTGTCTCAGTTCTGAATGATTATTGTTACGAGAAGTTTTTTCCCCATGGATTGCAAGTTTTCTTTTTCTGTTTCGCATTTCTGATCGAACCATTTGTTTTGTGATTTGCATTTAATTTGCTGCCTCTCACTTTCCATCCGGCTTCTTTGCATGCTTCCACCAAAGTTTCACTTAGTAATTCAGACGCAGTATCGATGCTGGATTTAACTGTTTATATCAATGGCGATATGTCTTCCCCTACTGGCCCCGCCGGAAAACACATGCCGGCTACTTTATGTTATTCTCCTGCTACCTAAAATCTTTTTGACAACCCTGCATTACATGGCAGTTGGAGAGATAAGACACCTATGTCTCCAAAGGGGATTATGAATGTTGACTTATCTTATTTACCTAACTGTACAGAATTTTGTTTTATCTATTTTAGAAAATAAGAACCTGTTTCAAATTTTAGCCTTCACCGCAGGTTCTTGTATGGAGGGGGCCTAACTGGCAAATTTTAGCCTAACGGGGTTTTAAAAACCAGGTTCTTAGTCATGGGTTTTTACTGTATCAGAGAGAAACTGGTCAATAGTGATGAAAAAAAACTTTGTTTTTCTGGAAGAAACGTCACCATTTTTGCAATAGATGCTTTTTCCCCAGCTATATTATTTTGTTTTCACTTGTTGTTGTTTGGTCTCTGAACATTGTAACTATATTTTCAGGAACAACAAGAGGCAGCCAAAAAGACTGCAGAGGCCAAAAGACAAACTGAGAAACAGAGGAAAAAGTCCGAGCTAGAATTAGTGAAACAGGGGAAAAGACCGTTTTACTTGAAGAAGTGTGAGTTCAATTTTGTGCCAAGTTTACCAGTCCAGTACCAGTGGTTCTTATAGCACTGTGGAGGCAATGTGTCGTCAAAACACTCATTGTTTTTTTCATAACCAGTGAACCAATTGTGTCATTAAGCATCTATAAAATCTTTAAAACTTAAGCACTCATTTCCAGTGTTTACAGTAAATCCCCTTTCATTAATACTTATAATGAGATTCAAAGGAGATTGATGTTAGAAAAGGTTTCAAATAATGTTTTTTTGGTAACATTTTTTTAAATGGTAGCATACAACCTAACTAATAGACTTCTTCAGGGAGTTTTACAATCAAATACTTTTTTTTCAACTAAAAATAATGATGGTCGCAAACATTGAAGGTTTGGCCGGATTTACGAAAAGGGACAGGCGCAGCTGTGAAATTTTGTAAAACTCCCGGAAGAAGTCTACGTTAGTTAGACGAAACGCGTAGGAGAATAAACAAGTTTTACAGCAACAGTTCGCAGAGTGCTGCTCACTAGTTTAGTTTTAAAAATTAAAAAAAAAAAAATCATGAAGGGTATTCTTTTTCTTTTTCAACTTCGTTCTTGGTGGTCTTTGGTGATTTTCTTGGTGATTCTTTTTCAACTTCATTCTTGCTGATCAAGAAAACTGCAAGTACACTGTACAATTATAGTTGACAACTTTGCAGTCATTAACTGTTCTTTTGTCTTTTCCAACAGCTGACAAAAGGAAGTTGGAACTTGCAGAGAAGTTTAAGAAGTTGAAGTCTTCAGGAAAGTTGGATCAGTACCTTAAAAAGAAAGGAAAGAACGTTGCAAGCAAAGAGAGGAAGAAAATGCCCCAAAGGAGGGTCGTGGAAACCTAAAAACACTTTGAGCGGTATTTTAAGCTTTCAAACAAAAGTGTAATTGAATGAAACATCAATGGGTACGCTGCATGCAAAAGCATCAGCTGACGGTGTCCGATGTTGGGTCTGAGGCATCAAGTTTATTCAACATTGTCAGTCAGGACTCAAACCACTTTTTGAGCAGTGAACAGTTCCATCTAGATCTTCAAGTTGTTACAATGTTTGCCATGGTTGTCACACAGAAGAACCTAAAATAATATGGGAAGATGCCATGAGTGATCTAAACTCATTACAACACAATGGGTTAAATGCCTACCGTTCAAAGTGGTGTACATATACTTGTACAAATTGTAAGCCTTCATAACCCTGTGTAACCCCTGTATAACCCCTGTATTTGTGATTCTCAAAATAATGCAATCTGATTTTATTGGTTTGGTTGGAAAAGAGCGTGAGTACTGTCTAGTTGGTTTTCCATACTTGTCTCTTCCTGACTTCGAAATTGTTGCCATTTTGCCACTTTAGAAACAAAGGGGGACCTGGAGCCAAAATGCGTCCTGCAATTGTTTGTGGTATCGTTACTGGGGACGCACCAGTTCGTTAGCTAGGAGTCAATTTTTTTCTCTATCCCTAATAACAGTCCCAAAAGTGTTTGTGAAAGTTAACTCACTCCAGTTGCTTTCTTGTTTCTAAAATGGCAATTTGATGTAGACCTATGTTACATGTCAAAATTAAATTCAGGCTAATTTAATTTTCAATATCCTTTGTCTCCTGGCCCTAATTCATGAATAATTGGGGCTAGGAGACAATGAAGATAGAGAATCAACCTAGGTTACAAAATTTAACCTTAATTTAATTTTGACCTGTAACATATATATGGGATATAGTTTGGGACAGTTGTTTTATGTCACTATTTCCTCACGGCCACATTGCGGTCTAAACACAGTTATTCTTGACTTAGTTAGTTATCATTAATTTTTTACTTCTCGTTACAAAGATAAAAATTTGCTTGTAGTGTAATCGGTCTAGGACACATCCATTGCTGGATAATATCAGATGATGTCATGTCGTTAGTAATGGAAATTTCGAATTGTCTTAGAGCCTTAAGGGATTACAAAATCAAACGTGCTCTTAAGGGTCTTTAATCAAAAGGCTTTTTTGCCTGTATTTAGGCAAAAAAGAATCGAAAGAAAAATGTGCAATTTTGACAATTTTGATGCAAAGTCGTGGGTTAACCCCTTTGGAAAAATTGAAATTTTTCCGCATTTCAATTTTAGGCAAAATAGGCCAGGAAAATGTGTGTGATGATATTCTAGAAAGAAAAAACCTTGTTTAGAGTATAAAAACAACGACTTAAAAAAGTCAAAGATTTGGGATTTTTCCAAGGATGTTTTTCCACGGTTTTGGTAAAAAAAGTTTAAAATTTTCCATTTTTTTTATTTTAGCAGAAAAAAGGCCAGGAAAATGTATTTGATGATATTGTAGGGAAGAAAAACGTTTGGTTAGACTATTAAAATGTTCAAAAATTGGGATTTTTCCAAAGGGGTTAGTTCATGGTTTTGGTCAGAAAATTGAAAGTTTTCCGTGTGTGTTTTACGATACTCTAGAAAGAAAAAAGCTTGTCTGGACTATGAAAACAAAGCGTTTAAAAATTGGCAGAATTGGGATTTGTCTATGGTTTTGCTCAAAAAATTGAGATTTTTCAATCTTCCTTTTTTTTTGGAAAAATAGGCCAGGAAAAGGTGTTTGATGATGTTCTCGATCGATAAAAAAGCCTCTCTAGACCATAAAAACCAGAAGTTAAAAAAAAAAACAAAGAGTTTAAAAATTGGCTGAATTGGGATTTTTCCAAAGGGGTTAGACCATGATTTTTTTATTTCTGGAACAAAAATGCCAGAAATATGTATTTCACGATATTCTAGAAAAGAAAAACGTTTGTCCTGACAATTAAAACAAGGATGTAAAAAAGTTGAAAAATTGAGATTTTTCCAAAGGGGTTAGTCCATGGTTTTAGTCAAAAATTGGCAATTTTCCCATCTTTTTATTTTAGGAAAAAAAATTCCATGGGAAGATATTTCACGATACTCTAGAAAGAAAAACGCCTTTCAAGGCTTTAAAAACATGAATTTAAACAAGTATAAAAATTGCAATTTTTCCGAAGGAGTTAGTCAGTGCTTTTGGTCAAAAATTGGTAATATTTCCATCTTTTTATTTGAGGAAAAATATTGCATAAAAATGTGTTTAAGGATATTCTAGAAAGAAAAAACAGTTTTTAGCCTATAAAAACAAGAAGTTTAAAAAGTCGAAAAATTGACATTTTTCCAAAGGGGTTAACCCATGGTTTTGGTCCAAAAATGGCCATTTTTCCAACTTTTTTTTTTCGGCAATATAGGCCAGGAAAAAGTCTTTTACGATATTCTAGAACGAAAAAACGCCTTTCTAGGCTATAAAAACACTAAGTTCAAAAAGTTGAAAAATTGACATTTTTCCAAAGGGGTTAACCCATGGTTTTGGTCCAAAAATGGCCATTTTTCCAACTTTTTTTTTTAGGCAATATAGGCCAAGAAAATGTGTTTTACGATATTCTAGAACGACAAAACGCCTTTCTAGGCTATAAAAACAAGAAGTTTCAAAAAGTCGAAAAATTGACATTTTTCCAAAGGGGTTAACCCATGGTTTTGGTCCAAAAATGGCCATTTTTCCAACTTTTTTATTTAGGCAATATAGGCCAGGAAAATGTCTTTTACGATATTCTAGAACGAAAAAACACCTTTCTAGGCTATAAAAACACCAAGTTCAAAAACTCGAAAAATTGACATTTTTCCAAAGGGGTTAACCCATGGTTTTGGTCCAAAAATGGCCATTTTTCCAACCTTTTTTTTTAGGCAATATCGGCCAGGAAAATGTCTTTTACGACATTCTACAACGAAAAAACGCCTTTCTAGGCTATAAAAACAAGAAGTTTTAAAAAGTCGAAAAATTGACATTTTTCCAAAGGGGTTAACCCATGGTTTTGGTCCAAAAATGGCCATTTTTCCAACTTTTTTTTTTAGGCAATATAGGCCAGGAAAATGTCTTTTACGATATTCTAGAACACAAAAACGCCTTTCTAGGCTATAAAAACAAGAATTTCAAAAAGTCGAAAAATTGACATTTTTCCAAAGGGGTTAACCCATGGTTTTGGTCCAAAAATGGCCATTTTTCCAACTTTTTTTTTTAGGCAATATAGGCCAGGAAAATGTCTTTTCCGACATTCTAGAACGAAAAAACGCCTTTCTAGGCTATAAAAACAAGAAGTTCAAAAAGTCGAAAAATTGACATTTTTCCAAAGGGGTTAACCCATGGTTTTGGTCCAAAAATGGCCATTTTTCCAACTTTTTTTTTAGGCAATATAGGCCAGGAAAATGTCTTTTACGATATTCTAGAACGAAAAAACGCCTTTCTAGGCTATAAAAACACCAAGTTCAAAAAGTTGAAAAATTGACATTTTTCCAAAGGGGTTAAACCATGGTTTTGGTCCAGAAATGGCCATTTTTCCAACTTTTTTTTTTAGGCAATATCGGCCAGGAAAATGTCTATTACGACATTCTACAACAAAAAAACGCCTTTTTAGGCTATAAAAACAAGAAGTTCAAAAAGTCGAAAAATTGACATTTTTCCAAAGGGGTTAACCCACGGTTTTGGTCCAAAAATGGCCATTTTTCCAACTTTTTTTTTTAGGCAATATAGGCCAGGAAAATGTCTTTTACGATACTCTAGAACACAAAAACGGCTTTCTAGGCTATAAAAACAAGAAATTTCAAAAAGTCGAAAAATTGACATTTTTCCAAAGGGGTTAACCCATGGTTTTGGTCCAAAAATGGCCATTTTTCCAACTTTTTTTTTAGGCAATATAGGCCAGGAAAATGTCTTTTACGACATTCTAGAACGAAAAAACGCCTTTCTAGGCTATAAAAACAAGAAGTTCAAAAAGTCGAAAAATTGACATTTTTCCAAAGGGGTTAACCCATGGTTTTGGTCCAAAAATGGCCATTTTACCAACTTTTTTTTTCAGGCAATATAGGCCAGGAAAATGTCTTTTACGATATTCTAGAACGAAAAAACGCCTTTCTAGGCTATAAAAACAAGAAGTTCAAAAAGTCGAAAAATTGACATTTTTCCAAAGGGGTTAACCCATGGTTTTGGTCCAAAAATGGCCATTTTTCGAACTTTATTTTTTAGGCAATATAGGCCAGGAAAATGTCTTTTACGATATTCTAGAACGAAAAAACGCCTTTCTAGGCTATAAAAACAAGAAGTTCAAAAAGTCGAAAAATTGACATTTTTCCAAAGGGGTTAACCCATGGTTTTGGTCCAAAAATGGCCATTTTTCCAACTTTATTTTTTAGGCAATATAGGCCAGAAAAATGTCTTTTACGATATTCTAGAACGAAAAAACGCCTTTCTAGGCTATAAAAACCCCCATTTCAAAAAGTTGAAAAATTGATATTTTTCCAAAGGGGTTAACCCATGGTTTTGGTCCAAAAATGGCCATTTTTCCAACTTTTTTTTTTAGGCAATCTAGGCCAGGAAAATGTCTTTTACGACATTCTAGAACGAAAAAAGGCCTTTTTAGGCTATAAAAACAACAAGTTCAAAAAGTGGAAAAATTGACATTTTTCCAAAGGGGTTAACCCATGGTTTTGGTCCAAAAATGGCCATTTTTCCAACTTCTTTTTTTAGGCAATATAGGCCAAGAAAATGTGCTTTACCATATTCTAGAACGAAAAAACGCCTGCTTTGGCTATAGAAACAAGAAGTTCAAAAAGTCGAAAAATTGACATTTTTCCAAAGGGGTTAACCCATGGTTTTGGTTCAAAAATGGCCATTTTTCCAACTTTTTTTTTTAGGCAATATAGGCCAGGAAAATGTCTTTTACGACATTCTACAACAAAAAAACGCCTTTCTAGGCTATAAAAACAAGAAGTTTTAAAAAGTCGAGAAATTGACATTTTTCCAAAGGGGTTAACTCATGGTTTTGGTCCAAAAATGGCCATTTTTCCAACTTTTTTATTTAGGCAATATAGGCCAGGAAAATGTCTTTTACGATATCCTAGAACAAAAAAAACGCCTTTCTAGGCTATAAAAACAAGAAGTTCAAAAAGTCGAGAAATTGACATTTTTCCAAAGGGGTTAACCCATGGTTTTGGTCCAAAAATGACCATTTTTCCAACTTTTTTTTTTAGGCAATATAGGCCAAGAAAATGTGTTTTACGATCTTCTAGGACGAAAAAACGCCTGTCTAGGCTATAAAAACAACAAGTTCAAAAAGTCGAAAAATTGACATTTTTCCAAAGGGGTTAACATATGGTTTTGGTCCAAAAATGGCCATTTTTCCAACTTTTTTATTTAGGCAATATAGGCCAGGAAAATGTCTTTTACGATATTCTAGAACGAAAAAACGCCTTTCTAGGCTATAATAATCCCAATTTCAAAAAGTTGAAAAATTGATATTTTTCGAAAGGGGTTAACCCATGGTTTTGGTTCAAAAATGGCCATTTTTCCAACTTTTTTTTTAGGCAATATAGGCCAGGAAAATGTCTTTTACGATATTCTAGAA